GGAGAGCATGACGTGCGATCTGTGGACCTTCTGCATGCGACGCCAAGTTGTATGCTGCGCTGCACCTGCAAGGGGTGCGCCGCCCGCCTGCTGCACCTTGCCCTGCCCTGCCTCGCAGCTCGGACGCAGGCGTGGCACCTGCCCATGCTCATTTCCACCCCCACCCAGGCAACTCATCGCCTGGCTCTACCGCCTGTATGGCGCCGCTCCCCCTGTTGCTGCTCCTGCACCCCTGTTGCTGCTGGCCCCGCTGCTCCGCTGCCTCCTCCTCCACCTGCAGGTCTGCCACCTCCCGCTGCCGCTCCTCCTCGGCGGCGGCGCCTCCACCCTGCCCTCCTCCGCCATGTACGGCTCCAGCACATAGATGCCACCCGCCGCTCAATCTCTGGGCCGAGGGCACCCCCGCTGCCTCCACGCGTAGCGGCGCGTGCCCCGCGCCACCACCCACTCTGCAAGCTGCCTGTCGATGGTGAGCCGCTGGGAACGACACAGAGAGGCGCAGCGAGCGGCAGAGACAGCAAAGCTCCATTTTGCACGCCAGCACCTGGAAGCGGTGATAGCTTCAAGTACCTCGGCATTGTGTTCCATGCCAGCAAGTGCCAAGCAGGCGCAGCAGCGCCATCACGTGCAGCAACGGCACGCGCAGCCATGCACAAGCTCCAAGCGCGGTGTGCTGCGCTGGGAATCGAGGCAGCATGGTTGCAGCTCCAGCTATTTGATATGATGGTGGACTCAGTCCTCTCACACGTGTGGCGCACACAGGTGGCAGCCGTGGCAGCTAGGAGCGCAGCTGGCAGCGCTGTCAGCGTTGCCGAAAAGCTGCACTTCAGCCACCTGCGGCGGCTGCTGGGGGTGTGGCAGGGCACGCCTAACGCAGTACTGGCGGAAACTCTCGAGCGGCTGCGCTGGCTGCAGCTGGCAGCGCGGCTGTGGAACCGCAGCCTAGCAGCACCGCCCGTCAGCCTGCTCAGCCAAGCACTGCACGCCAGCATCACGCTGGCCACAGACCCGGGCAGCAGGTCCGCAGCATGCCAGCCGTGGGCGCAGCAGCTCGCGACGGGCATGGCAGCAGTTGGGACCAGCTGAACCTGAACGAGCCCCAGCCCATCGGCAAGACAGCACTGCGGGGTGCAGGGCGGCAACGCCAACTGCAGCAGCGGTTATCAGCTCGCGAAGGCGCCAGCAAGATGCAACACTATCCCGATGGTGTGTGCGGCGGCCAGCTGGATGCCACCAGTCTAAGCACGCGAGCCCCCTGCATCGATGCGGTGTGTGAACGCTGCCGCCTCGAGGCGCTGGTGCCGCTGCGCACTGGCTCTCATTGGGGCGCAGAAGAGACCGGCCGGTGCACCACGTGGCTGGTCCTGCCACGCGAGCAACGGCGCTGCCCGCACTGCAAGAATGATATTGAGCATACCACACACATTAACTTTCTTTGCCCCCTGTATGCCAGTGTCCGACAGCGCTTCTCTGACTTGTTTGATCATCAAACAAGGCATGATGCCACACACACAAGCCTGCACACCTTCGTCCAACAGCCTGCCCCCCGCTTCGCCAGTTTTGCTGTTGCATGCAAGCGACTGTGGCTTGACACCCCCCTTCCCGCCCGCCCACACACAGTCCCACTCTCCTTTCGCTCAATGCTGCTTTTCTGTTTCAATTTCATGTCCCACATAGCCATCTGTTCTACATCAGATGAACTTTAGAATCCCCTGATCCCCGGGGGTCTGTGTCGCGCAAGTGCTTTCGCGGATATGCAAACTGTAAACACAAAAGGCAACCCAAGGCGTTGCCTCAAAAGAGCTCTATGGCGGTGCCAATCGGTAGGGCAAGGTAGGGCAACATGGGCTTGGCATTGGTGGGGCACGTTGCAATTGGCTGGTGAGACAGACAAACTGGGCAGGGTGCGGATGAAAAGGAAGAAGGGCGGGCAGAAGGTGGCGGTGAGCTTGCGTTAATGAAGTTGTGACAATTTGCGGCGGGTCAAGAACACGCACGATTGCAATTGCAGGCTACGCATATGGTGCTGCGGATACTACGCAGGCGTGCCGCCCAATTCTGGGTTCAGCGCCGTCAGTACACCTCAACAGAAGAGCGGGGGATGCTGACGCCAAGCAGGCCGGGGCGCACTGCGACAGGAGGGGCGGGAGCGATATTGGGGTTGATGCGCCGATCCTCCACAGGCAGCCCATGAGCACTTCCTTAGGGGCAAGCCACCCCACCGCAATTTACACACCTTTCAAAGGCAGCCTTTTCAGCAGCTCGTCGTCGTATGTGCCGCGCTTGATGGCAGCCACCACCTTTTTGAGCGTGATTTGGGCATCCGCCAGGCTTGGCCGCCCGATGTCCAGCTCGTAGCGCACGCCTCGCCCGTTGAGTGCACCAGTGCAAGCGATGTTGACCCTGGCCAGCTTGAGCCCCAGCAGGGCGGCAGTGCCGTTGCGAAGCGCATTCACGTGCAGAGGGCGGCAGGAACGTGCTGCAAGGAAAGCAAGCCCCATAGGAAGGCATGATCAGCCCACGTCAGCCCACGTCAGCAGGGGCCCTACACGCAACTGTCATGTGCCCGCCCTTTCCCTCACCTGCTTCTTGCACCCGGTATGAGAGCCGCACGCCATGGTCGGGCTTGAGTGCTCGCACCAGCGGCCACAGAAATCGGCGGCTGCCGCGTGGTTTGGCATGTGTGCATGGCATGCGCCCACACTGCGGTGCGGTCAGTACACGGGGCGCCTGGCCGGTCGTGTTGCACTCGGCAAGCCATGCCTTGCAAAGCGGGTAGTTGACGGCGAGGTCAGGGTTTTGGCACCACCGGTACTTGGGGCAGCACATATCCACAGCCCGCAGGAAGATGGAGTTGCCAAGCACCTGCGGAGGAAGGCAGCCCATGCAGGCAGCACGTGGACGACCATGCGACATGCCATGGGCACCTAAGCAGGCGCCGCGGCGGGTGGACATGCAAGTGACCAGCAAAACGGCGGCGGCGAGCAATGGGGATGGCGTGCGGTAGGGGTCTGGCGCAAGCGTGCGTGCAACGTCGGCAGCGCCGCACCGAGTCCACTTTCTCGGTTTGGTTCCATGTCACAATCGCGAGGAGCTTGCCACTCGAGTCCTGTGAGGATGGCAGGTTGTGATGCGGTGGTGTAGGGAGGTGCTACTTGGGGTTTGCGCTGGCACGATGTGCCGCATTTGCCCAAGTGCCGTTGTTGCCGCCACCGATGCTCACCTGAAACTGCACTTCGTAGGTGGCAACGTAGGGTTGGGTGACCTTTCCCCCAAAGGTGACAAACTCAAAGTTTCGCACATAGCCGTTAACTCCCGGCACGTTGTACTGCGCTGCTCGCTTGGGGATGGGGGCAAAAAACGAGCAGTGGGATGAGGTGGGGGCTGGTGAAAGTGTGCATGGGTGGGGCACCATGCCATTTGAGTGCCCGGCGGCGGCGCTGCCTGCCGCCGGGAGCCCGCACCAGCATCGGCACCCGTCGGCCTGGCAGGCCTAAGCTTGCTTGTGTGGGCTTACAGTCTGGTTTCAGCAAGAACAAGCTTGCAGCACAGACTTTGTTGTTCGAGCAAGGAGGGATGAA